CCAACTGGAAATAGTAACAAGCTAAAACAAGAAGAGTCGAAAAACAGATTAGTGGATTATAACGTATTCAAGCCAGGTGAAAAACATTTGTTATTATTATTATTAGTTTTGTCCTACTTTGCCGGCTCAACTGGATGGGTTGTTCACATTCTAATGATGCCCTGTTAATTGAGTACTCGCACGCACAGACAAATAGTTGAACTGTTGCACGTTCTCGGGCCAACACATGTCTGGCAAATGTTGGCCATAAACTTGCCCTTGCCTTAGCCTGGCCACGGAGCCACTGCAGAATTGTGGCACAGAAGCTAATAGAAGTGTACTTCCTACCTCCTCCTCCTGCGCGGCATACAGTAATTATATATGAACCTGCAAAGGAGTTGCCTTTTCGCGCCTGCAATATTTTCGCCAGAATGAGCAGCACATACACACATGTATATACACACACATATACACAAGTATATATATATACATACACACAGACACAGACATGTAAGCACAAGTGACAGGTAATTTGTGCATAAAAGCATGGGAACGTTGTACGCAAACGGTTAACGTGGCATCAACGAGCACATATATATATAATTCATTTTACAACCAGCTTTGTGTGTCATATTCATTTGCTTTTTTTACCTTTATTTTTTTTCAATTCTTTTTTTCGTGCTGACAATTCTGCAGTTGCCTTTCGCTGACAGTTTCAGCGCGCTGTGAACATTTACGTTCAATGCTTTTTCGCACCTTTCAACAGAGTTCCTGATGGCTGCCGAAACAGCTCGAAATGTCCTCGTTCGCAGCTGATAGTTCGATTTGCAGCCGAGATTATTTTATTGAAGTCAGCCAGACTTTATGGGCTGTCTATGAAGCTAAATATTATATGCTGTTTTCAAGATCTCATGAACGAATCTATTTACTTTAATCTGACGATATATATCTATTATCTAGTGGTCAAGTCAACCGATTGATGTGCTTGCGCCTTGTATAGCACAAATTTTGGTCGCAACAATATGTCTTAATAATATCAAAATCTCCCGTTTCTGACAGAAGGATTGAGAAACTCATCAACCTGATTCCGGTATTTAATTTAATTACAGTCTTAGCTTTAGGCACACAGCCGCAACAAACTCTGTGTGCACAAAAGGCAATCAGAAAATCAAATGTAAATTAAATTAGGCTCGTCTCGTAGTCTAATTCAATTTCAAGTGTACACTCAGGCGTGTCCATTTCCTGTGCAATGCATACAAAAGTGCAAAACTGAAGTCAGAATTCAATTGACAGACTGATAAGCTCTATAATCAACATTGCCAGAAAACAAATTTTTCCCTCACAAGCTTGTACAAACCAAGATTGTGCATCTGCAAATCCAATATAATATTTAAAGCATTTACACACGCACACCTACGGGCACTCACAATGTAACACAATGTTGATGTTGCACCTGCTTTGCATGATGAATAGCTTGTGGTTGTTTCTTTGGCTTTATTAACTAAAACGGCATGCAAATGAGTTGTAGTTTAATTTGCAGGTGTGCAAATATGCGGGGCATGAAATTATTTACTCTAAGTGAAACCAAACTTAAGCTCTAAGAAATAATTGCATATCGGTCTGTGGAAGTTAAATAAGGCGCTTATAAGTGGCATATTAAAGTTGTATGTAAAGTTCATGCGAGAATATACCGACAAAAAACATCTTCATTCATCAAGTGTTATCCCAATAAGGGATAATATAATGCAAGTAATGCTTTTTTTTATGACAAGCATTTCCATTTTTTACTTTACCTTATACATATTGACATGCCATTCGATTACGCAGGACTAAATGCGCTTTCTTCGGACCCAGCAATCAACCTCGCTGGCTTTGGTGGCTTGCACAAGGCGCACATAAATAAGTCAATGGCCATGAAAATATTAAGTATACGCACGGTGACAAGGACTCAGTGGGCCAGCAATTATGACGCTGTGTTGGAACTTTGCTCTCCCTCAGTTTATAAACAAATTTAAGCGCACTCCGCGACTGCCCTGGCCCCAAGTTACTCCTGGGAACCAACTAAATTATGCCCACTGCACAAAGCTGCGGTCGCGACAATTCCAACGCTTTACTTTATGTTTTATGACTTTGAACGAAACTTTTACATGTACTTTACCAGGTAATCAGTGCTGTATATATGTATGCGTGTTTTGGGTGTCCTGCGCGTGTTAGAGCGCATAAACTGCACTTGACAGCCAGGTGTATGTCTCGTTTGCCAAATCCTTCTGGCCGAAATTGTATGCTAACTGCCGTGTCCGCGATTTTGCAGGCAGCAACGCAATCAGCAGTCGTAATTTGTAAATTGTGGCCATTTGCAAAGCTCCACTAAATTACATTTACACATGCAAAACGCCAAATATATATTGTTAAAGCCAGTCGTAAACTTGTGGATGCTTGGGAATTGCTGGCAGCTGTAGGAGTGTCCCTCCAGCGAAGGTACACTGGAGATTTTCTTTAACAACCACGCACAAACAAATCAAATTCATAAAAATATCAAATAGGTAAAAAGGCTTTACCTCGGCTTTGCTTCTTGGTTAGAATATCAAATAAAACAAAAAATCTGAATCACTTTTGGTAGTAGTCAAGAATATATACAAATAATGTGGCCGGAGCTCTTCCGCCTGTCGTCGGCCTATGCAGATTCAGAACAAGTTTTTAAGTGCTTGTCAGAGTTTGTTGTGGTAACTGAGTGTGTAAACGAGGCTAACATAAATGGGCTTAAACTGAGTTTTCTGCGGCTTGGTCCGAACTTTGCCAGTTGCTGTTCGCAATGCAGTAATAGCTGCAAGAGTTCTTTTAAATGGGGTATAGACGTGGAAGGATGTTCACTTATGCATTTCTGCAAGGTAGAAAATACATACATGATTATTAGTTTTTTATTCGTGTTTTCGTTTACTTTTCTATTATTATTTTATAACTCTTTAAAACATTCTTGTCTAGCATTAAAAGCCAAGAAGGATTTAAAATGTTGATCATCTCTTTTGAAAAAATCGATAGAAATCTATACCTACTACTAAATTTAGTAAGCTGCAATAAAAGGGTACGACAAATTAAGTTATCGGCAATGCCGGTTCTCAATTCGAAAAACTAGTTATTTTTCGCCCTCAAACCCCTTGAGGTGCAAGGAGGCGCATCCTCCTTCGCCGAGCGAAACGCAACGTGAAACCAAAACAGTTTTCTTGTACCTCTCACAAAGTTATTCTGTGGGCATGCAAATGGACCTACCATGTTATTCTGTGAACTGTGGTTTTCAACTTGGCTCACTCAATTACAAATTGCTGACCACAGCCTATGATGGCAATTGAATGTCGAGATGGACTATTTGCGGTGTCCCTTGTGCCCGGTATTGGCACTATCAAGCAAAAATTCGGTTATTTACCTGGTCTAACACGTGTTGGACAAACAAGAGCTAAAAATGAACAAAAAGTTACGAGTACGAATACTAGGTGAGCATTGCTCAACTCTTTGGCCATTGTTTGGCTACTGTAGCTTTTGTTATTTTCTCAAAGGTTGCCGGTCGGTCGGCTGGCGGTTGGTTATTTGTCTTTGGCCAACAGTTGCAGGCTGCAGAGTTTCCGTTTTGTTGTAATTTGAATTAAATTGTTGTCAGTTGTCCATTTCGGCTGGGACAACACTCTTGTGGCTATCAAATTTAGGCATTTCTCATTTACTTTAAGTTGTTTTTGGGCTTTATTTGTTCGGACCGTCGGGCACTAGAAGTCATTAGCAGTCCACATGCAAATGTCATCTGAAAATTGCTGTAGAAATGTTGTGTTTTCATACAAACTACATAAAACAAACTTATTTGTCAACAATTAACACTTGCCCAAAAACGGTGAATAAGTAATTTGCTTGTTCAGTCCTAATTAAATTTTAAAGCAGTTCCCTTTTCATTCTACATAGCACGTACTGTTCACAAATTGCACAACAATAAATATTTACATAAATATTTACATACTCATTAAAGTTTTCACATTAAAATAATACTGGCCCGGCGCCAACTAAACAATAAACTATACCCAAAACCGAGCCAACAGGAAACATAAAGCTCAAGCCCGCCGGCACAATTTAAAAAGTTTTTCGATCTCCCCCACAAAGTTACGCTAAAAATAAATAATCATGTTACTGACGAAAGTTCTCGGTCACGAGATACTCTGTACACAGATTCAAAGTACAATTCGATACTTAAGTCTATAGTTACTTTCCATAGCCTTTGCTGACACTTTCCAAGACGCCAGGGATACACTATGCGGTCGTGATAGAGATTCTAATTTCAATTATAATTATATCCTTGTACTTCGGCTATTACAATCTACAGAAATAACTACAATTTATTATAAGGTATAGTTGGGTAAAAAAAACACTGCTTACTAAATTTTCAGTTAAGCTGCCGTTCCGTTAAAAAGGGCAGTTTACGATTTTATCAATGTCCCTTCAACAAACTGTCAGTTAAGTGTGAAAATTGTTCAACCCTTACGGGTCATTGTGTTCACACATTGAACATTATTTATTTTGCACTCTGCCAGTCCTCTTTAGGGTGATTTCGTAATGAAATAAAGTTTTTATTTTTCAAAACAATAAACCTAAAATTCGGCGCAAAATCAAATCAACCTATAAAATATATATGACATGTGCATATTTTCCAGATCACATGTTTGGGTATATACATTATCTAAACTCTGCCAGCAATTGCAAAATAGCATTATGCTTTCTTTTATTTAAAGGGTATTAAAAGCTAAGTAAATGTGATTTTCCGCACGGGTTATTCCTTTAGGGCAAGACATCTGTTTGCCTGTGCTCGGGTCACGTGCCTGAACGACGGCTCACAAAACGAATTGTCTGCGAGCGGAAACGGCTGCGCAGATCGTGTGGGGTGAAAGGTTATAGATTGTGTGTGTGAATTGTGCTGTCCACACGACCACCTCACTAACTTAATTGTTGCAAGTCTATGCTCTGTTCACGAATACAATGTACCCAAATTTTATGTTTGTTATGCTTCTTTATTTAGTGTAATCGATACACATATGCGGCTCACTGCGGCAATCATTTCGATATAGCACAAGCAAGGGGTTAGTATGCCATTGTTAATTACCAGGGTTTGGCCGTGCCATTGCAACTGACACCTTACCTCAACCGTTTGCCACCTGCTTTCCTCTTTACGACTCAACTCAACTCAAAGGTTGCATCGCCAGCTCCAGTAAGGGTTACCCTGTCAGCTTTCAAACATGTTGCACTGCTTTGTAGTCCTGCCCGACGTCTGGTGCGTTTGGTGGTAATGGCAGAAGGATTCTTCATTTTCTTTAGTTGGCTCAACAGCTCAGGCAGTATTAATTCAGAAGTTGTGAGTAACAGCTACTTGACGGTGCAATTACCCCTCACCTGTGGGGTAGCAAGAAATCTGTGGTTAATCAACCAGCAAAGCGGTTTAACGTCAGCATGTCATAGTCAGATGGCACCTTGATGGAACCTTAAAGGTATGAGAACGAGCCAGTGGTATTCACATAATTGTTAATTTATTTTAATATATATTTTATCGCGTATGCAAGCAGAAAATAGCCAAAACGAAAAGTCTCCTAATTGCATATATATCTAACTCATATCGATTTGTAGAATTGGATTTTAAGCATATTTAGTGGATAAATCTGAAATGCATATTAAAATTATAAAAACTCATGTGAAAGTCTTGTGTGTGCCATATTTGGGCCTTGAGAAGTTCAAAAGAGAAGCGCATTATATGTGGTTTTGTGTATTTAGTAGTAGAAAAGGCTCTGGTTCAAGGTATCTCCCAGTCGAACACTCTGCACTAGGGCATTCTTGCTTGTTTCACAGTTACCCAACTTTTAGGTAGATCAGCTTAGCGTTCGCATTTTTTGAAATGGATTATGCTCTTTCCATTAGCTATTCCGGATCAGCTATTGAGGATTTGGACTTGAAGCTTATCATCTATAGTCAAGCTGCAGCTCAAGCCCAACTGCTAACTTTCATATCCTGCCTTCGTTCAACTCAACTCCACTGCACTGGCAGTTGCCAGCTTATTTTGCTGGCATTCTCTGTTGCCTTACGTCGACATTCTCTGCTTTCATAAATCATCATTTAGTTCATGTCATGCTGTTCCGTGTTTGCCGTCAAAACGGCTGCCAGGCAACAGCCGCCACCGCAGCCCCAGCCACAGTCAGAGAGCTACAGCAAGAAACAGAGCATACTGCAGCACTTGCTTCGCTTACTGCTCGGCATGCGTACACCTTGCCGTATGAGTGATTTATGTAAATGAAATTATTTTTACTGGCAATATAAGACTCGTTTGCTTCATTGGGTGCATTGTATTGCAACTTACACTTCAATTCACATACCGAACATCCATATTGGCGAATGAGTTGGCAACAATTTCCTATCAATTTTATTGGTATCGTTTGTCACATTAGAAAGCGCACAAGCGCAATTGGTCGCTAGAATTTCATTAACTAAAAATGCCGAGCCCGATCTGGCAGCTGAAAATATTTGCCCACTCGACCGTGCCGCATGCATATTTAAAGGTTTAATTTACAATTTAAACGCGCCCCTAGTCGAAACAAAGCCATGAAACATTTAAAGCCCTTCACATGCGTCCTTGTGGGGGCTTGCCGTTAGCCGGGGCTTGCTTATATTCTCTATGTTAGTGGTCCTTGACGGGGCATGTGAAAGGGGCTGCATGAGCCTTCATCACGTGCTAGCACGTTTATGACCAGGCACAATTAAGTGTTTTTATGCACGCTGCATTGTTGCCAGCAATTGCTCAAGTATGCTAATGACAAATGCCTGTCTGTGTGTCTGTCTCTCTGTATATATCTAGCCTGTCTATGGCTGTGCCACTGTAGAAATGCTTCGTTAAAGAACTGCTTAAAGCTTACTCAAACGAATAACAAACTTATGCTCCCATGGCCACTTGACCTTAATCGCGCCGCATCAACGAACTGAATGTGATAGTGAAAGCTGGCCAACAGCACACACGAACACCCACACACACAGGCCATACGAGTCGACAGCTGTAGTAGCTGTATTGGTGTGCATTTGTGTGCTTGTGCTTTAAGGTTTTATAATTTAAACTGTAAACTGGCTTTTCTTTAGCTAACAATAGCCTTTGACCCTAAGGCATCCCAAGCATGTCACGCTCGATTCAGGCTCCAGATGCGTCTTAAACTCAGCCTCGTTTTCGTTTGTGTATTTCGATTGTTTGCTCGCCTCATTGGCAACTGGAATAGTACCTTTCAATATGCTTCATTTATATGGTGGGTAAACAAATATAAATACACTCATACTTTCCCTTAATGCATACATACATATATATTCTTGTGGCATGGGATATGACAAGAAAAAGCTTTTTACTTAATTGTTAGGCACAACTTTAAGGCACGATTTTTATATGTATAAAATAAATAAACATTTATATTATTGCTCTAATGCTTTGTAATGTTTAACAAAAGCGATGCTAAGTCAAAAGTAAACAAGAATTAATTGTGGAAAAATAACAAATAATCCAGGGCAACGCTAAAATATTAAAAAATAATGAAAAAACTGGTGCTCTAGTTGGAAGTAATCAAATAGGAGAATAATCCTGCACCAAGAAGCAATAAGAACATTGAGACTATTCTGTGTAAGTATTGACTTCACATTTGCACAAAATCACTTTTATTACATTATTTCTTTTATTTAATGGGTGGTGTCACCTTATTTCTTATTATTATTATTATTTTTTTTTTTTTTTCTGATAACATTAAGTATACGCATATGTTTAATGATTATTGTTGGTTATAATGTTATATGCATGCATTTGAATATATACATATCCCAACGCTACATAATTGAAATTAAATGAGAATAACAAGACAGTAGCCAACAATGCATTAATCGCAATTTCATTTGCATTGTGCAGCAATTAGTAATAAAATAGGCATTTCCATGTTTTGTCTGAATAAATTAGAAACAATTGAAATTTAAAACATTAGAGCCCTGCTCGTGGGGGTAGGTGCATATCTCGGGACTTTACTCATTAAATAATAATTAGACAGTCTTCTCTGGTATTGTTAAATACTTTCTAATTGCTAATGAAAACTATTTGCTCTGAACAACTTTACTGCGACATAAACAAATGTTACAAAGCAAACACTTTAGTTCTGAGAGTAAAGACAAAAGTGAAAAGGGAGCTAACTTAAGGAGAAATGTATATTAGGCATTTTATTCATGGCAACAGGCAAAATCTTGTCCGAAGATATTTTCTGCATACTTTCTAACTGCATTCCGCACACAAAGCTATTATAATTTTTAGCAAAGTCCATTCGTCTCACTTAAATCTATATGTACATATAGTAGATATATATTTTATAATCAGCCAACTGTTACCAATCAATAATCTTTGCCGAGCCAAGGCTTCTCCTCCTTAACCACCTCTCTCTCATTTTCGCTCGCAATTTATTCGACGGAGACATTGCTCTCTCTATGAGAACTTATATATCCATCTTCTACTTGAACTATGTGTTTTTGTACAATTTAAATTACAGACGTCCCTTCGGCCTGGCAAAGGACAAGATATCGTTGAGCCAGAATGCAACCGGCACATACATATTCCATACTCAAATCCAACAGCTGCCAGGCTCCAGGGCGTTTTCGATACTACAGATGGGTTGCCGTCATCGACGTCGTCCTGGAGACATTTACATAAGTGGAAGCCTTTGTGATTTGATTTGGCCATATATCTGTGACAACTGCGCCGTGTGCACTGCCACATGTGGCAGCCTTCGCTGGCATGCAAAATTATGAAAATGAATACGCATGCAAACGCACACTCAGACACACTCACACCCACACTCGCTCACTCACATAGAGTCTTTGCTCAATGTAATCGCTGTCATGCGTATGCAAATGCTTGATGGCATTTCGGTAATAGCTTTTGACTGAATAGAGTTGACAAAATCCGATTCTTCATTTGGTTAGAGCAATAAAAGTACAACTTTGACGAATTCCCCATTGCATGACAGACAATAAACGACTAGAGAACAATGCCGCAGCTTGTCAATCATGCACACAAAGCTTAACGCCGAGGCTTGCCTCTAACTCAACTCAACGCAACTGATTGTGCGGCATTTTGAAGGTCGCCTTAAAGCCAGCGTAAAATTTAATTAATCCCATCGCGAAGGCATCATCTCTTACACAACGCATTGAGCAATAGGTATTAGACAGCTGCTGCCGTTCAAAAATGTACGAGAAATTTGTTGACATAACAACAACGTCCCAAGGCAAAGCCCAGGTGTAGCGAATGCTGCAACTTATCATACTCAACATAAAAGGTATTAAATTAATACATCTAGCTTATTTCCTAATAGTTTGATTAAAAAAAGTAGAATATAACTTATTCGAAATTTTAAACACTTTGAACTTTACATACAAATCCAAATTATAGCTTAATAAAAGCTTTTCGATTCTTTTCAGGTTCTGGATACATAGCTTGCTCTTAACTAAGGTACAAGGTTTGAAAAGCAGCGATACATACAAATCCAAATTATAGCTTAATAAAAGCTTTTCGATTCTTTTCAGGTTCTGGATACATAGCTTGCTATTACTAAGGTACAAGGTTTGAAAAGCAGCGAGCTACTAGCGACACGACGAGGCACCTTAGACTATTAGCATTTGCGCCGGCTCAGGCCTGGTAATAAATCTCAGGCTTTCAGGCAGCTGCTTTTAACAATGGCAATATGAACAAGTTAGAGTGCTCTTGTCGGGAGTCTATGATATTCTATACCCAGCGTCGAGATGTCATCACAAATATTTGTATACATATATCCGTAAAAACATACGCATAAACATCTACAGACGCCGCTATCAGGAGAAGTGCTTCGTACTCTTGTGGATTCTTAAATAACATCGGTATCTATAGAAATATATCAAGCTGTTCTGTGTTTACTCTACTGTCTACTTCCATAATTTGTAATTCTGTTCTTGATTAAACAATAACCCAATGTAAATTAAAGGTAATTTGAAATAAATTTGATTTGTGTGCCAGACAGACAGATGATCGTCTAGATGGCTAGATCGACCATTGAAGCTGTCTGTCACATACATATGCACCAAATCATAATACACTGCTTCACTAATTTTCAAAGGGTATCGAATGTAAAAAGGTCTTGGTTGGGGTTGAAAATTACTCGACGTTGCATGGAAGACGTGTTAATTGGGCGTTGCGCCGTTCTGTCATGGGAGATACTAAGTAATCAGAATAAATTATTCATGAGTACCAACAGAGGGTATTGAACCTATTGGTTTTTGCAAAAGCAAACATAAGAAAAACTCTTGATTCTGACTAAGAACTTTGCATAAGTAAATCTCAACCAGAACACAAAGACAAACTT